AGCCCCCTACACAAGTGGCTGGGCCATCCTTCTAGGATCAAGACCCAAGGGTGATTATGGTATTCTGGGCTAGGGAAGAAGCCCATCACCTGACTTCTAACCCAGAGCTGAGACTTGGAATTTTTATTTAATTTTTCCAGCTCCAAGGATTTTTTTTCATTACTTGGTAATACTGAGTGTGTGTGGTAGGGGAGAAGGGAGTAGCTTTCCATTCATCATTAGATGTCACTCCAGAAGGAAGAGATGAGTTCTGGGACTGTGGGATTTACTCGCCAACAAGTCAAGAAGAGGATTTTTTGAGAGCTGAGAGAGGGAGGCAAAGAATACTTGAAAGAAGAAATTGTCCTTTGCTTTTTCTGGCTCTGGTTTTCTTGCTGCAGCCCCAAACATCAAAATGAAACACATTTGACCTTTAATTGTTAGGCCCCTCTTGAGAGCTCTCTGTGAGATTTAGCACATTAAGGGCCCAGCTGGAGATCCTATGCACACTTCTGTTGTCCACCTCTGCCTGGAGCTTGTCTGTGAAATGATCAACTGTGTGAGCTCCAAGACCCCACAGTGGGCAGGAAATGCAATGGGCAGCAGCCCTCCACTGATTGGACGAAGCCTGCCTCTGTCACAGAATTAGGCAGAGTATCTCTCCAACATGATTGACCTTATACGAACCCACAAGAAGACAGATGCTTGAATCCACTGGAGAGGAAGGAGCTTCGTATTGGACGTATAATATAGATAATATGAGAAAATAGCAGAAAGGGGGCAGAATGGAGAGATAAGGAGTGGGAAATGAAGAGGAATTGACTTGGAAAGCAGAGAAGAATGATTCAAAAGCTTTGGAAGTGTGCACACTCAATTCTCAAAATAAGGCTTTCTACTTCCAAAGACTGACGGAGAATGAACAGTCTTTTAACAAAGCGAGATTCCAACTCTCATCCATCCAAAGGATACATGTCCAGCTTATCTCACTTTGCAAAATAAGTGGACCCCTGGAAAGGTGTCCATCAATGGCATTTTGAAGTCTTATTTTCGAAGTGTCAGAAAATCCTCTTTATGACTGTGCCATGAACATTTTGGAATCTAGATGATCAAATTTGGCTTCTAGACTTATGTGTTGGAAGTTTTTAAATTTCCCAAGTGATAAGTAGAAACACGTAATAAAATGCTAGCTTTTAAATAATGATCCAGATTAATGATGAATATAGAAATTAAGCACGAAATTCTCTACTCTCCCTTTGATGGACCTGTCAATTCCGGCACACACAATTTTGGAAAGCCCAGAGCTTGATGCCATGTTATTAAAATGCTGTCATTACTGAGGTTGGAGCCAGGGGATCATAGAAGACCTCAAATGAACAGCTCATTCCTGGAATTAACTAGAAACGACAAATCCAGATTGAGTAGCATGTTTTCCTTGACATGATTTACTTTTGCTTTGACCCTGGCCATCCCGAGGCTATGTAGTTTACACTATGTACGTACTGATTTAGTATTTATTGAGCATCCACAGCGTATGAAACACAGTGCAGGCCCCAAGCCTGAAGAGCTCCATACAGTGTGTCAGTTACACACGCATCTTACACACATAACAAAGACATCACCCCTGGAGGGAAATCCATCAAAGATCTACTTGGGAGAATAAAGGTGCTCCTGACCGCTCATCGGTGGAGGATGGACCCTGGGTTCACTCTCAAATGTAGCTACACTCTTGCCTGGGTCCCCTTGATGTCAGCTCCATGCCTTGCATTTGCGAGACTACTAAATATTCAGAAATGCAAGCCACGGGTCAGAGATGGTTAACTAGCCTACCTGAGGAAGAAATAAACCTGGGACTTAGCACCCCCAGTAGAAGAGCAGGCTGAAAATCCACAAGAACAAAAATCCAGGAAGGTTACATCAATTGGAATATTGTTACCTTAGCATCTCTCACAGTTGCTATTTCCAGGTAACTGTTGCCAACACATATTGAAACACTCCCCAGCTGATTTACTGAGATAAATCTATTGATTGGCTGCCAAAAGTGAGACCTAGTGACAATGCTTGCAAAGAGGATTACAGAACCTCCCGTCAGCCTCAGAATGGGCTGCTGCCAAGTACCCGGCTGGCTCAGTTCCCAGCTTTATGGCCTGTATGACTTCTTGCAGGAAAATGACTGGAGGCTTGGTATTAACTTAAAATAAGTTATATTAAATAACATTTTCTACCTCAGCACTCTGTGGATTTCTATAGGACTCACTTCTGAAAGATTTTTTTCAAGCCAGTTTGTTTTATAGTCAAACTAGTCCCAGACAGATTTCAGATAGGGTAAGAATTAATTAGTTGCTGTTCAGGTGGCAATTTGGATAATTCGTAACGATGTTTATAAACATAGCATAATTCCCCAGCCTCTTTAGGCTCTCCAGAAAGTCCATATAAATGTTAAAATTTTTAACTTGAGTTGAGGGCATAGAAACAGTTGGCAGCTTTTCTAGTCATTAATGAGGACACTTTCTTCTCAAAGTTGATATAGACTTAAGCCTAATCAGAGAACATTTCAGTCTTTTTAACACCTTGGAAATCAGGATTTGGAATAATTCATGGTGTTTAACTTTATAATGCAAATGAATCTTAAGTTGAAAAAAAAACTGATTAGACTCACGTACTGCCTTACATGTGGGAGATTTGTAAGGAAACTGTTGAATGAATACCTATATATTCTGATTATACAGATTTGCCTCTGTGTGATTCATCATCTGTCTGAAGGCTAAAAGAGTATTATTCCCCAAGTGTAGCATAAAATGCCCCGTCAGAATTCAACTCCAAATTCATAATACCTTTGGCAGGTACAATCAAAGCTTCATTCAGATGTTGCTGAGATTCATTAGAAAGAGGACAATTCTTAAGGGGCTTGACCTTGGATGCATATTAAAGTCACCTGAAGTGTTGTGAAAAAAATGCTGAGGCCTGGGTCCCATCTCAAATCTTTTGAACTCTCTGGGGACAGAGCTGAGGCACTGATGTTGTTTGAGAACTCTCCAACTGATTCTAGCAGCAGCCAGGGCTGAGAACCAGTGACTTAAACCTTCCAAAACAGAAACTACAATTAATCAGATCCCTCCCCCAATTAATCCAATCCTTTCCCCCATCCCCTGAATTCTCCACACATTCCCATCAAAAGAATGCTCTAAGGAAACATGAAATGCCTGTCTGGTCTTGAGCCTCCCAAGTAATAGAGCTGCTAGAAGCCCAGAGGCCAGTCTCTACCAGGGGATGCCTGGGGGATGAGCTGATTTGGAACAGGGGGGTGACATAATAACTGCAGGTGGGCTATACATTATCAGAGCATAGGCTTTGTTCCCCACATCCACCCATGAAGCCGAAAGTTAGTTACTTGTGCCACTGCCAAAGGTAACTTGCTTCTTCCACGTTAGCCTGCTTTTTCCCTTCTCCCGAGCCAGCCTTTTCCTACCCTCCCCCATGCTGCAAATGGTCTAGCTATGTAACTACTAAAGAGCTCTATTGCTAACTAGCCCAACCATGAATACTGACTCTCCCATCATGGTTACTGGCATTGGAGTAATAGGACTTAATCTTGTCATCCCCAAGTCTTCACCCTCTTCCCTTCCTTTCAGGGCACACTTTCATGAGGGAATGAGTAAGATAAGGAGAGAGGTTGATTCTACTGTATAGCGAGTGAGGACGGTACTGAGTCTTACAGTCTTACAGCAAGTCTCACAGACTTGCCGCAGTTGCTGCACTATTTTGTGCACTATATGCCTCAGGGGCTGATCTGACAGGTGGATACCGAGTATCACTTCCCAAGACTCTCACCCTCACTGTCCAGTCATTGCTCCAACATTAACATGAAAACCCTTGTCCCAGGGCACATGTCCTCATTTGCAAAATTCTCAGGAGGTGAGGATTATCAGCCTGGTATCACGGCCCAACAGTCTTTTCCTGTCTCCTTAACCCTAGAAGGATTAAGTGTTGATGGCAGTTGATGGTAGTTTGTTTTTCGGTTCTGGCCTTAAGTAAACTTCTCCCAGCTCTTACATCCTGGATTGACTGTATTCCAAGTGTGTCACCACCAAGCAGGTGCTGGGCGATCAGATGACAGGTGTTGATCTGCTGCAACTGAGCAATTAGAGAATGTAAGAGTAATGCTATGGAAAATGGTTTACACTGAGTGTTCAGAAAATCAAATATCTGTGTGCCTGCCTTATGCGTGCACTGCGTGTGTACACACAAACATACACACAGATAGATGTCTGTCCTATATATAGTTACGTGCCCCCTTAAGTGACTTGGACCTTTTCTTCTTTATTCCTATTTATCTATCTCTTCTTTGACTAATTCATCATATCATTTTCAAATAGAAATTAGGGGATAAGGAGGAGGGAAACCATAGCAAGACCTTTTGGAAGGTGGCTCCTGGGTGCTTTTGTGCTATAAAGTCAAGTGAATCTAAAAGTAAAACCCTTTGGGTGTGTGGCAAGGTCTTATTCAGGAAATGCTGAAATCCCAGATATCAATGTGTAATACATATTCCCCTGGAATCCTAGGAATTACCGAGTTCAGGGGGGATTAGCAGCATCAGGTATTATAGGTCAGTTGAGTCCTTTATGAAAGGCAACCCGGAAAGCTTCACCACCCCCAACCAACGCAGTCATTTTAAATCCCACCCCCATTGTTCCTTCAGCCCACCATGGAGCAAGCAGAAGGGAAAGCAAGGAAGACAGCCACGGCTCTGAATTACCCTTGCGGACCGGGAGAAAGCTTTGTTTCAAGGGCATAAAGAAGAAATAATAAAGTCTCTCCCCTCCCCCTGGCCTCTTCCAAGCAAAGCACAGACTCCCACCAAAGCCCACTTAACATTTTATACAGACACTAGGACAAGGCAAGACAGCTGGACAAGAGGACAAGGCTGGGAGTTTTGCCACGTAGTGGAGCAGCCCTGGAGCGGGAAATAAGCTCGCCAGCGCGGCCTCGGGTGGACGCCCGCGGAGACCAGGGGCGCGGGGACATCAGATGACCACGCTGACTGTCACGGTCTGGGTCTGGCCGTGCGGCGCGATCTTGCGGGGCCAGGTGAGCAAGAGCTTGCGCAGCTCCTCGCGGAAGTTGTCGTGCAGCCAGGCGTAGATGAAGGGGTTATAGCAAGCCGAGCTCATGGCCAGCCAGTGGCAGAGAAGCTGCACTAACCCGAAGGCGTAGGGGTCGATGGCGTGCGGGTCGAGGTCCCGCAGCAGGTTGAAGACGTGCAGCGGCAGCCAGCAGACGGCGAACACCACCACGACCACCACCAGCAGGCAGAAGGTGCGGCGGCGGCGCGCACGGTCCCAGTCGGCCTGGCTCTGGGTCACGCAGCCCGGCACCACGCGGTTCCGCAGCTTCACCGACACCCGGACGTAGGACAGGAGGATGACCAGCAGGGGGAGCAGGTAGGTGAAGAGCAGCAGCCCCCAGGCGTAGAGCTGGCGCTGGCGCTCCTGAGACCCCCAGAACTCCTCGCAGAGGCGCACGCGGTGCGGCTTGAGCTCGACGTGGTAGGTGTGCACGGCGGCCGGCAGCGCCAGCACCGCGGACAGCGCCCAGATGGCCAGCACGGCGTAGGCGCTGAGGCGCAGCGAGACGCGCCGGCGCAGCGGGTGCACCAGCACGACGTAGCGGTCCACCGCGATGGTGGTGAGAGTGAACACCGACACGTACACGGTCACTGGCTGCAGGAAGAAGACCAGGTGGCACAGGCCGCCGCCGAACACCCAGCCGCGGGGCTCGAACGCGTAGGCCAGCGTGAGCGGCACGCAGGCGGCGCACATGAGCACGTCGGACAGGGCCAGGTTGCCGATGAGGAAGTTGGTCACGTTGTGCAGCCGACGCACCCGCGCGATCACCAGCACCAGGAGACAGTTGCCCACCAGCCCCACGACCACCACGACGCTGTAGAGCAGCACGATCAGCCCCTTCAGCTGATGCACCAGCTGCAGGCTTTGGAAAGGCGTGACGGCCTGCGCGCCTGGGCCCGCCGCGGACGCGTTGCCCGCCGAGGCCTCTGAGCTCTGGTTGGCAGGAATTGAGGCCGCTGGTGGCAACCCAGAAAGTAAGTCGGGGACCGAGGGCCCCTGCGTCGGCAGCGAGGCCATGGCCACCTGTCCAAAGAGAGTCAAAGCCCGTCACTTCCCATTGTCCATCCATCCGCTCTCCTACACCAATCGCGCCTCCCTCCCCCACCTCAATCACCCAACGCTGTCCTTTGGATAACTGGCCAAAATGAATAACAATCGGAAGGGCTGTCGCCACCACCACCCCCGTGTAAAAATAAGTCTGTGCGGGATTACGTGTGCACGGGTTATTTAAACGCCTCCTATTCGATGTAGAGGCGTCGCAGTCCACGCAGGTCAGACCCAGGAGCGTGGTCCTACCTGGGGAGCGGGGCTCGGCGGGCGGGAAATCGCTGCGGGGACGGAGGGGACCGGCTGTCCCCTAGTGGTCCTCAGCCCACGACGGCGGCGCAGTCCTCTCGCTTCTCCGCGGGAGCTGAACAGAGTCAGGAGTTCCCGGTGGGCTCGCAGGTTCGGGAGGGACTGGGAGCGCCTCCCCGCCGCCCCGCCCCCCACTCCAGCGCTCCCTTGTATGGAAAACGGGGGCGGAGCGCGCACCAACAGGCTCGGCGCTCAGACCACTAGAAAGCAGGACGGTGCGACCGGGATGGACACAGAAAGCGGGGAGGGGCCGGCAAACCTGGGTCAGGGGGACCAGGGAGACTTTCCACTGCGGGCGCTGGCGGCGCCTTGGGAGAGTCCCGCCCCGGAGGAGGGTGCGGTGCACCGGGAGAGAAGAGCGGCGACAAGCGCTGGGCTCCCAGGAGGACCCGGTGCAGTTTCAGTAAGGAAGGAGCAGGGCCAGACGTGGAGTGAGGGACGGGGCCCCCCGCGGGGTGCGAGGAAGAGATGAGGGACCCTGCTTAGAGTCTGGGCTGGAACGGATAGGACGTTCCCGCAGGGATTTGCAGTTTGGAGTCTGGAGCTCGCCGCAGACCTTCAGGCCCTCGCCCTCCCCGGGACCCCCGAGCCCCCCTTCCCCCCCGGGACCCCCTTCCCCTCTCCCCCCCGGGACCCCCTCCCCTCCTCCCCCCGCCCCCCCCCCCCAGGCTGCGGCAGGGCCGAGAGCCGCGAATCCCGCCGGGTACCAGAGTTCAGCACAGCGGACAGCTCCCGCGCACGTGGGTCCGGCGCGGGGGGGGCCCCCGGGGAGCGCGGTTAAGGAGTCCCCACGCCTCCCTGGGCCTGTTCCCTTCAAACAGCTGCCGGCCCGCCAGGTTGCTGGGCGAGAAACAGAAGAGAGCAGTGAGGCGGAGTGGGGGGAAATAGGCGGGGGGGGGGGCGGTTAGAGGGTGGTGAGGTGCTCCCTGCTGTGGGTCGCCGCACTTAGTGCCAATGACGACGCTGTCGTTTACCTCCCTCGGTCAGGAAATGCTGCCCTCATGCCAGTTACCCTACACAGGCACACCTCAACACCTGGCCCCCCAGTACTCCCCTACTCACCTTGTCGCTCTTTTTTTTTTTTAAGGATTTTATTTATTTATTTGAGAGAGAGAGCATGCACAAGCGGGGTGGGGAGGGGCAGAAGGAGAAGCAGACTCCCCTGCTGAGCGGGGAGCCCAAGGTGAGGCTCATCCCAGGACCCTGAGCTCATGACCTGAACTGAAGGCAGAGGCTTAACTGACTGAGCCACCCAGGCGCCCCTGCTCTTTCTCAGCTACCATGACCTACTCCTTATCTGCCTGACTCTCCCAGGCCGGTAGGCAAGTTCCAGGACTGGGACCCTACCCTCTTCCTCCTTACATAAGCACTCCTCATTTTAGGATTAAAGATAATACTAATGATTGCAGGATTTCCACTAGGATAACAAAAGTAACAAACATTAGAGAAGCTTAAAAGTTAGGTAAAACCTTCAGTAGCATTAAGTCATCGTTGAAATGCAAATTAACCTGAACCACTGTGGGGAGGGGGTCAAGGAAGGAGGCTTTGTAACCACCCTCCTTTGAAACTATCTCCTCCCCCTCATCGTGCCCCCTCTGGTAAACTCTTGTCCTTTGTCCTCTGGCTCCAGATACCCTGGTTAGGTTGGAAAGAAGTAAAATTAGTCCACCCTACAAATTCAAGTGATTGACTCATACAGGAGGAAAAGTCAACATCGGAAGAAAAGCAATCAATTTGATGCAACTGTATCTATTCTAAACCCACACTCCCTGAGTTATAATCGATTTCGTTAAAGCCAGTATGATATGGAGAAAAAACATCAGAATGAAACACAGTCTGTGCCTGCCTAATCCTTCCCCGGTGATGTTTCCCATCATGTTCACCAACCCATGTTCACCCTTGGGTTATATGCACCCAAGGGCAGAGGTGCTCTTTTGTTTTAAAATATCTTAAGCAGAGGAAATTGTGGTAATGAAGGTGAAAAAGGATTTGGGATGTAGCTAGGCCCCCATAACTAGAGGCATCATTCTGGTCCAAATCATTGTTACCATAATACTAAAAATAACAAAAAAGACAACCTTCTCAATATTTGCATGCAAATGTCAGTATTTGGAAGTTCATCACCAAGACACCTTCCAGACAAGAGAGTTGGTCATTTGCCTAGTTCCAGATCAACTCTGCTAAGAGTGTTAGTGTTGTCAGCATTGTGAGGTAAAAAGGAATTAAACATCTAAAACCAGCATAGCCCACTTGAAATCTTTATTCTCAGTAGTCTTCACTGGAATTAAGGCTAGTCTCTCTCTCAGCCAGGACATGACGATTAAACCATACCAATGTTCAGACTTCCCCGTACCAGTAGTGCTCCAGAAACCTGAGAGATCACAAGTAAACAAACAATTTTTCAAGACAAATGGAAGAAAAATAGCACGTAATATAGTAGATGGCAAATCACAGGATTTTATTACCTCCTCTTCTTCAAAAGCTTTCGATGACCCAACAAAGGAAGGCCAGGCCCTTCAGCATGGATTTCCAAGCAACATGCACTCCTATTCTGACCCTCTATCATTTTCTTTCTTTTTTCTTTTTTTTTTTTTTTTTGGGTCTGGACTTCCACCTCTATCCATCTCTCTCTATAGATAGATAGATAGATGATAGATAGATAGATAGATAGATAGATAGATAGATAGATAGATAGATGATAGATAGATAGATGATAGATAGATAGATAGATAATAGATTTAAGCCAAACTAGACACTAACGCTAACATGTTCTCACCATTCCTGCCCAATACCTCTCTCAGGGGCTGTTCTCTTTCTCCAGAATCCTGGTTGCTTTGTCCCCACTCAACTCCACATTCTTCACATCCTGCAAAACCCAACTCAAAGATTATCCTGTCCTCAAAGTCTTTTCCTTTCCATGATCTTTCTGTCCTTTATTACTTTCTACTTTTAAAAGCGTTTTAGCCCCCTGCCTCCACCAACCATGACTGTAAACTCTTTTTTTGGATACCTATAATGTGACTGAACTCAGCAGATACCCAATACATTGTGTATTTGTTTTTATTGGATGGATTAAAATAGCCACTATTTGTTGAGGGCTTTCTACGTACCAGGCACTAGGCTAAGTACTTCACATATTGATCTCACTTGGTCTCCTCAAAACTATTATTATACCCATTTTATAGATGAGGAAACTGGCTCTTCAAGGCTAGTTGAATAATGGCACAACTGATAAGTAGTGGGGCTGGGACTTCAGCTTAGATTCACCTGATTCTGGAGCCAAAACACTCCACTATTTTACTGCCTCTGAATGAAAAGAGATGCACCTATATATGCTGAAAATATAAGTAGATTCAAATGGGATTAAATCAATATAGCAACCCCTCCTCCCCCATGGTTGTTAAAGGAAGCTCTAACAAATTTGACTGCAATCCTAACATTATTGTGTTTAAACAGATCTTTATGGCTCACCCCAAATGGCCCTTGCTTAGATCCCTTTTAGGAGACAAAACCGTGGGCTGTATGAATCTCGGGGGATGGTCTTATGCTTTATGGTGACAGGAGACAACAGGATATAGAAAACAGAAGACAGAGACAACAGAGATAAGGACTGTAGTTAGAATTCTGGGAAACTGGATTAAAGGATCTGACAATTTTATGCCAGCTAACTTCATGCTGTCACACTGCAGTTAGCCCAACCATACTAGAAATCACGAGGGATCTTTTTTTTTTTAATTACTAGTTGGGAGAGAGCAATTTTTGAGACTTGTCTATGTCCAGGCCATAACAAAACAGATGCTTCCCCAGAAGAGAGTTTTCTCTTTTAAGCCTGTCCTGTGTGTATTCCAAGAGCCAGGCTCCCTCCAGGTTCCTCAGGCTGAGCTGGGCAGGGGGGCAGGGGTGGATCTAGAGGCCAACTCAGCATGGCAGGGCTGGCCGCCCATAGGAGACAACAACCTGAGACCAGTAGTGTAAAAACTGACATGACATCACATACTAAAGTGAAAACAAAAAACAGATATTTCCCTTATGTCACTTTGAGAAAGTGCTTTTCATCACAGACTCCAGACCTATCAACTATCACTTCCAGCTGTGTCAGGCATACCCTAGTCATTTTAAAATTCTCCAACACAGCTCTGCCCAGAATAGAGGTGTAAAAGCTCTTATGCTGACCAGAAACAGTTCTTGGCTGGGCTTTTCTTCTCAGCCTGTTCAAAATCAAAAGTGAGCCCCCCAATAGCCTTGTACCCTCCACAGTGGTCTGTGGGGCACATATCTTGCCTCTGCTCTGTTTTAATCTAGGCCCCCCTGGAAAGGAGAGGATGCACCTCCAGAGTAACATGTGAAGTTGGGGTGGGGTAGGAAACCCTTCCCTGACACAAGAGAAAAGCAAACAATGAAACGTGCTAATTCAGCAAATATTTGTGATACATCTACTATGCAGACGGGCATAGAAAAGGTGCCCTGAGAGAAAGATGAGTAAGTTAAACATATTCCTGCCCTCAAAGAACTCACAGTCTAGGGCAGAATGTGCTAGAAACAGCGGAGGAAACTATGAAAACAATCTCAGGTGCTACTCTAGGAAATTCATTCTTAAAACTGAAAAATCCCGTGGCTTTAGTAAATTAGCTATCTCTGAGACCAAATTTCCAGTTCCTTCC